CCTTGAATCTATTCTTCACCTCTACTGTATATTCATCAGGGATGCGATCTAGGTCAAACCTGAATGGCCTCGTGGTTTTCCCGATTTTCTTCAGTTTAAGTCTGAATTTTGCAATGAGTAGCTCATGATCTGAACCACAGTCAGCTCCAGGTCTTGTTTTTACTGACTGGATAGAGCTTCTCCATCTTTGACTGCAAATTATATAGTCAATCTGATTTCGGTGTTGCCCATCTGGTGATGTCCATGTGTAGAGTCGTCTCTTAGGTTGTTGGAAAAGGGTGTTCGCTATGACCAGTGTGTTCTCTTGACAAAACTCTGTTAACCTTTGCCCTGCTTCATTTTGCTTTCCAAGGCCAAACTTGTCTGTTATTCCAGTTACCTTTTGACTTCCTACTTTAGCATTCCAGTCCCCTATGATGATGAGGACATCATTTTTTGGTGTTAGTTCTAGGAGGTGTTGTAGGTCTTCATAGAACCGGTCCACTTCAGCCTCTTCTGCATCAGTGGTTGGGGCATAGACTTGGATTACTGTGATGTTGAATGGTTTGCCTTGGAATCAGACCGAAATCATTCTGTCATTTTTGAGATTGTATCCCAGTATTGACTTTTGCACTCTCTTGTTGACTATAAAGGCCACACCATTTTTTCTATGGGATTCCTGGCCACAGTAGTAGATATAACGGTCTTCTGAGTTAAATTCACCCATTCCTGTCCACTTCAGTTCACTGATTCCTAAGATATCGATGTTCAGTCTTGCCATCTCATTTTTGACCACGTCAAGCTTACTTTGATTCATAGATCTTACATTCCAGGTTCCTATGCAGCATTGTTCTTTGAAGCATCGGACTTTCCTTTCACCATCAGACACATCCAGAACTGAATGTCCTTTCGGCTTTGGCCCAGCCGCTTCACTCTTACTGGGGTTACTTGTACTTGCCCTCTGCTCTTCGCCAGTAGCATACTGGACACCTTCCGACCTGAGGGGCTCATCTTCCGGCGTCATATCTTTTAGCCTTTTGATACTGTCCATGGGGTTTTCTTGGCAAAAATACTGGAGTGGGTTGCCATTTCCTTCTCCAGAAACAAAGCATAAACACAGCAAATTATCCACAGTAGTACAGATCACAGCCCCCAATAATTTATCCAAGTAATTTTATGAAGTCTGTTTTTAACAGTGCTACCCTATTGCATGCATAGAAAAGCCCTCTTGAATATTCAGTTTTGCACAGTTTGCAAAAAGCCAGGAGAGTGGGAGCCTTCCTGACCTCCTCAGGCAGGCCATCACTCAGCCTAATCTAAAAGGTTGTTGTAAGGCTACCACGAGATAATGCCTTCATTTTTAGTTCTTTAGAAAAAGGATAAAGTACCGTGTTTCCCCGAAAATAAGACACTGTCTTATATTTATTTTTTCTCAAGAAGACACACTAGGGCTTATACCACAAATGCATAGAAATCCTGCTAGGGCTTATTTTTGGGGTAGGTCTTATTTTCGGGGAAACAGGGTATGAATGGGATCCACAAAAGACAGGAAGACACACTAGGATAACAGTAAAATTCTTTTAGGCTGGATCATCACTCACAGCAACTGCTCTTCAGATCAAAACCTGATTTATAGGAAGTCAGAGAGGATTTATACTTTGAAGATTTTCCCATTTTTTCCCTCCCTGGTGCCTGCAAATACTATGAACACAAAAATTTTGGGGTTTTTTTAACGAGTCTAAGATTTTAAGATTTATGGAATTTAGGGAAATGCACACCTGTGTGTTGCAACATAGAAACGTCATCTAAAAGCAATAGAGAAAATCCCTTTGCGGGGTTTATGCTGAAAAACCTATTTTTATCGCGAGTGTGTGTTGGTACACAAAGGGTTTTGAAGAGGTTACTTTATGAAGCTGAAACATGATATGGGTACACTTTGCTCAGGATCCCCAAACTCAGGGTCTCAGAGGTTAGGACTTGGGGGACTTTGAAAATTTTTCTCATAATATCTGTGGTCCACGTGGTCCCTGCAGAAACAGGGAGGAATGTTCTCTCTTTCTCCTTAGATTCTGCTCCTCAGTGTTCTCTTAAATTCAACAGAAGATTTTTTTTTGAGTGAAATTTCAGGAGTAAAAAGAGAATACATCTCAGTTGTGACAGATTTGGCAAAATCCACTAACCTTAAGAAGTCCTTAGATGAGGCATGGACCATATTCTCTAGGTGTCTTCCAAAAGCCTACGTTGTTCAGATGAGGTCTAAATGTGTGAAATTTGTATTATTTAATCTATTTATTTTCCAGCAGTATTTCTGATACTGATCCTCAAGGCATTTCTGATCCTCAAGGCAGCTAGGTTTGGGCAGATCAAAAATCCAATCCAGCATTACCTTTGAATGTTTGAAAGGACCTGATGAGTGGAAGTTTGTGAGATATGTTTTTGGTGCAAAACAAAATTAGCAGGATGTCTGCTATAGGGTATTTTGAGGGCTCCCCAAGGCATAAGAGCTGCAGTGAGAAAGGAGAAGTGTCTAAAATCACATCTACAAGCTCCATTTGCAGGAGTACAGGATCCAACCCGTCTTTTTAAAAAATTCCATGTGACCCTTAAAAAAACAACAATGTGAGCATAAATCAAAATATCAATAACTTTTCTTCCAGAGGCAAGGTGGTACCAAGGGTGATTTCAAGAAAGACAACAAATGCATAAAATAAGAGTGTACATCAAAGGCTGTTTTTACATAATCTTTAGAATTATAAGAATATAAGGACATCTGAGAATATATTAATCTGTTGTATATTATTGTACAGAAACTGAACAGCGTGAAACTTTAAAACCACATTTATTTTCATACAAAATGTGTTGCACTATTACAGAAGTGATTTCTCTGTGTATCTTCACATGCATGGATAAATTTAGCATCTATATTTAAAGGATAAATGTATGTTGTCTCCAATACTGTTGGCAAATCCTGGTAGGAATGTATTCTTGCTTGTGCTTAGTAATCAGTGCTGTACAACTGATTCTTATTTTTTACTATCTTTTCTGAAAATGTGACCTATAAGAAATGATAAATTTCTTGCAAAGTTTTTTGGGCTGCATATAAGGTGATTAATGCAAATTTGTGCTTTAACTACAGTCTGTGCATCAAAGCTGCAAAATTGGATTGTCATCCAGTGTCAGTTACTGATACACAGACACACTAATAATATTGAGCACAACCCACTAAGTACTGCTGCTGGAACAACCTCCATTCATTTAAACAGGGCTCCTGTGGGCTCAGGGAAAATCAATGGAAGCTGCAAAGTAGCAGATATTAGTTGATTGACACATGACCTAAAAAGCTGCAGCCAGAAAGCAGAACATCTCATTATATCAAATTTTCATTTCATAAATATTTAGTAGATGCTTTAAAATACCATGCTCTCCACTGGCTGGAGTACTTCTTACACAGTACAACAAAAAGCATTTTTATTTGTAACACCTAGAAGGATATAGCATCTACACTTTAAGTGTATTTACAAATTCAGCAAAATATCTACATATCAAAAGCTTACTTAAAATTAAACTTGATGCAAGTTATGAAAAACCAATTTATTGGCAAATGAAACTGAGCATTCCTTCAACCATAGGTTGTTATATAAAATTTCATATTTGGAAGTAAACCATTTCTGTGATAATAGATCGTATGTGTGATTTTCTAACAGATGGCAATGGTTGTGACTAAACTTACTTATCAAATTGAATGGCATGGCTTTGTTGTGAGTGAGCTACATGCCTCTTCATGCCAAGCATCATGTTAAAAACTGCCTCATTAAGTAGTCAATGGGATTCCAGCTTTTGAAATAGTGCTGCTGTAAGTATAGTGTTTTAATATATTATTAGGAGAATTTTTGTTTTGTTTCTTCATGTTATGTTTCTTCAGTACCGTAATTCAGCCATTTGTCTGTAAAACTGCATAAGGCAATGAAAACATACGTTGCATTAGCTTCTCTACACAGCAGTTTTTATCTCCATTACAGAAAGGAAACCTTAATGAGCATAGCATAACTTAAATACTTACTCTGTTTCAACCAAAACATTTTCCTACCATATTTGGGCATTAAAAAAACCCCCCAAACTAGATTACTTTGGCAATGATGGCAGTTATCAGTCATGCTATTGTATTAACTGACTGAACAGGGATACGATCCATTGGATACCTTTCCTTGCCATGCCCCACTAAAATGCATGAAGGTGCACAAGAGTTCTTTTGCAATTCCCCTTCATTTCAGTGTAACTTGCATGGGGAAAATTCCAAGTGGGTTATGCCCAATTACAGTACATTACGGAATGCACATTATTTGAAGGCACTGAACGTATTCTGCCCTGTATGTTTCTGGAATAATTTTTATCTCACTTTAAAATTTCATTTCCACAACTGTACAAATTCCAAATGCATTACAATGCATACTGTATTATGCCCTAAAAAATTCAACATACATAGGATGACCAAAACAAAACACTGTACTGCAGTAATACTTGATAGATTAAAAAGGTTATGAAGTAAGAGGAGCAAAGAGCAGATATCGGGGTCTCAGTAAGCATCAGCAAATGCAAGTGTCATACTTAAAAGTCATTTATCAATCATATACATACTGTTCCTAACTGTCTTGCAAAAAAGACATAATGATAGCTAGACATTAAGTCACCAGTTTCACAACAATGTCCACAAAGACATTGAAGTTCTATATAATACTACCAAACACTCTGACAATGAAAATTGACTTCATATCCAGGGATTCAATTGAGGACTGCATAACAAAGTATCAAAACAATTTTCAGTGGCATAGCCAGTTTTGTCTGTGAAATATGCAGCACTTTGCATGCATTATACTGTTATTTTCAACATTCTTCGTTGATGTTGCTCTTTTTTATTTTTTAATATAAAACCAATTTTTGTGCAAACTGCTTCCAGTTTTGCATTCTGATTTATACTAACATATCACTTACTGTTGTTCTATAGCATAACCATTTGACCTCTATGTACTTAGAGCACTTCTGTTGTGTAGAACATTGGTTTCTTTCATGTCCAATAATACGTGCTTGAAAAAATAATAATGAAAATGTTGGAATGGGGCAGAATTGTTGGCTTTCTCTTTATTTAGACAAATGAATTCATTGCGTTGACTGGGGAAGGAGCCTCAGAACTTTCATTTCCTTCTGCAGGTTCTTTCTCTTTTTTACCACTGTATTGTCCAATAAAGGAGCCATCCTCATTGAACTGTCCATTGACACCTTCTCCATAGTCAACTAAACTATCATCGCTGTCCTCTTTTTTCACAGTCCTGTCTGAAGGTGTCCTGCTTCCTTTTTTTAGAGGTTTGTGGTCATCTGCATCACTGAAAAAATAAAGGAGTTTAAAAAACGCAGTTAGCATAAAATAATCTGGAATGACAAGTGCAAAACAAACCATGCATGCAGATTTCTAAAAAAAACATGTGCAGTTCTCACTGTCCTTTTAGTAAACCCAGTCATATGGAAGAGACAAATTAAAACGATGTAACTGGCATGAATATATGATGCAGTAAATGGTTTAAACGCAGGATGTCTCCAGCAGAGGAAGTGCATTTTGCCCATCGTGCATGGCTTCTCAATAGCAAAAACTTCAGCTCCCAGTTTTGAAGCAATGTAGAAAAAGTTGCAAGCATTAAAAGGGGCCAGTTTCTTTCTCCAAAGGAAAAGGTTGTGGTGCGCTGTGAAATTAGTCTGTTAAACTTCTTAATTCTTGGTTCCTGAATATGAATGGGGAATGAATTTGATTAATGAAAACACTGAATCTCTTCATTATTGGGAAAATATAATGAACAGAGTTGGAGAAATTTGTTACATTATATACACCAGGCTGGAAATAGTTAACCTTACCTTTCAAGAGACCTATATATTCCATTAAAAGGTTGCAGAAGAAACAAATGAAAATAGCCTAAGAAGAAAAGCAGAATCCATATCCTGATAGTGATCAGTACTAAGTTAAATCAGAACCAGAGCTTGATGGATAGAATGTTCACTCATGCTCTGTGGAGATATCAAGTTAACTTCAGTATGGGAATTTAGAAAGAGTTACTAAAAGTTGTGAAAGAAATGGTTTATTAGAACATCTAACTTTGCCGGACAATAACTTTTTCTAAGAACATAAAAAGGTATTTTTATTCATTTATTAAAACATTTATAATCCACCTTTCCTCTAGGTTCAAGGCAGCTTACAATAATAGTTGTATTATAGTTGTATAATAACATTCCCAACTAAAACCAAAGATAAAAGGTATCTTAGTTATATACAGGGCTCTAGTCGGGGGGGAGCTCTCAGGTACGGAGCTCCGGAAGAGAACCTCTAGGGGGCGGGGCGGTCATGTGGTGAAGCCCCGCCCCCTTCTTTACCCCGCCCTCTGCTTCGATCCTCATTCCGTTTGGGAATGAGGATGAAGCAGGAGGGTAAGTAGCCGGGCCTTCTGACACACTTCCGGTGATGTCAGGGGGTGTGGCCTTCTGTCACTTCCGGTGATGTCAGGGGGCGTGGCATATGCAAATAAGTTATGCTAATGAGTTATGCTAATGAGCTCCGGCAGCTCTTTTTCTACAACAAGACCCCTGGTTATATATCCCTCAACTGAAAACCTGGCATAAATAAGGTCTACACAAAGCACATGAAAAAGGTCCTAGTTTCATAGTGTTCCCTTGGAATACACCAGTGCATCCAGGACTACAAGTTTGTCACCATGCATGTGAACAATCAGCATTTTGCAGGATAAGCAGGCCCTCTTAGAAGTCCTGAGAAGCCCAGGGCACTTCCAGCTCTTGAGACCACTACCCATTAGAAAAATTAAAAACTATTAGCACGTAATGAGCATAAAATTAAAAACTATTAGCACATAATGAGCATAAAACAAGTTCTAAAATTTATCAAATACCCCCCAATTAATTAGTGTCTAAATGTGAGGCCCCCTTGAGCTTGAGGCCCAGGCCAAATGGCCCTCACACACCTCCCCAGGATTAGCCCTAAGGACAAGATACAGAAATTTAATAAATAACAATTTAATACTATCCCCTATTATATCTCTTCCCAACAAGCTGGCCTACTACATGGTCACGCCTGGTTATAGACATCATGAAATGTTTTAAAGCTTGGTAGATATTTCACAGAAGAACTCAGTAGTGGGAAGATAGGAAGGCTCTATCATTGGACTCAGTTTTTAGGCTGTTATATTAATTTCAGGATAATCCGTCATCTACTTTCTCCAAAGTGGAATACTTCAGCGTTACCCTCCCACTATTCAGGAAACAAAGGGCTTAATAATTCTCTGAGTCTGAAGAGATGTGTGATTCTATGAGCCAATCAAGATAATAATGTGTATTCTACTGTGAAGTGTTCTTGTGGTAGGACAAAAGTCCAATGTACTGCAAAGAACTTTTTGCAGGCTGCATCGTTGTATCACTTCAGAGTGGCATGGTGGAAAACTGTGGATTGGGAAGTCCTTTCAGAGCCAATGTAATAACCTGGCATGCCAGAACAGAATGGCCCTGACCCAGTACTAGCAGTGTGACTAATCAATTTGCTAGTGCAAATCCACCATAGATAATTTGTAGATGGAAAATAAAAAAGTCAAAAAATAAATTAGATAAACAGTTAGGCACATTTAACTTTACATTATGACTGATGGTAATGAAACACAGGAAAAAACCCCAAGCAATTTATACTGCAATCCTAAACAGAATTACACCATTTTAAGTCCACTGAAACCAATAGGCTTAAAATGGTGTAACTTGCCTGTAGATTGCAATGCTGGTTTGGTACATATCAGTAAATTACAGCCACAGCCACTAGAAATAAGCTCAGAAATGGTGCTTTTGATTTTGACACTCTGGGCATAGATTAATTTTTACGGAGAAAAAAAAATGGAACCCTTGTATGCTTCCCCCCTGGCTACCCTTTTTACTCTAATAGACAAAATAGGGACATAAGAACATAACATAAGCCATATGCTTATCTAATTCCCTTTTGAAGCCGTCCATGCTTGTAGCCGCCACCACTTCCTGTGGCAGTGAATTCCATGTGTTAATCACTCTTTGGGTGAAGAAGTACTTCCTTTTACCTGTTCTAGCCGACCGCTCAGCCCACGAGTTCTTGTATTGTGAGAAAGGGGGAAAGTACCTCTTTCTCTACCTGCTCTATCCCATGCATAATCTTATAAACCTCAATCATGTCACCCCTCAGTCGTCGTTTCTCCAACCTAAAGAGCCCTAAGCACTTTACCCTTTTATCATTCGAGTTGCCCTTTTCTGCACTTTTTCCAAAGCTATAATATCCTTTTTAAGGTGTGGTGACCAGAACTGCACACAGTATTCCAAATGAGGTCGCACCATTGACCATACCTGCTTTATGTACAAATGCTATTGTAGTTCCAATCTTCAAAAAAGGGGATCCAAATTATCCAGGAAACTACCGCCCAATAAGCCTGCTTTCAATAGTGGGCAGGCTTTATGCAAGGCATCTGTCAGATAAACTGACCTCCTGGATTGCAGATCAAGACCTTCTGGGAGCCAAGCAGGTCGAGCTCTGCACAGGTAGTCCAACATTAGACGATTGTATAACTCTTGCCCACTTGGTGGAGAAATACTCTGGAGAAGCCCGAAAAAAAACTATTCTGTGCTTTCCTTGACTTAAAAGGGGCCTTTGATTTAGTTCCCAGGAATCTCCTATGGGTTAAATTGAATAAAATGGGAATAGATAAACGACTACTCTTCCATATCCGGAAATTATATTCTTTCACCAACTGCCAAGTAAGATATAGAAACTCAGGTTTACTAACATCTAGATCCTTACAAACCGAGGAGACCAACAAGGCTGCATTTTGGCACCTTATTTATTCAATCTATTTTTGAATGATTTGAACTCCTCTCTGAGTGTGATTGATGGTCACTGACCTAAACTGGGACACAGAATCACAGAATGTTCGAGTTGGAAGGGATCTTGCAGGTCATCTAGTCCAACCCCCTACACTCTGCAGGAGCATACCCAAAAGATAGTCGTCCAGCCTCCGCTTGAAAACGTTCAGCGAAGGAGCATCCACCACCTCCCGAGGCAGACTGTTCCACTGCTCAACCACTCTTACATTTAGGAAGTTTCTCCTGATATTTAGCTGGTAACGACTCCCTTGTAATTTTCACCCATTAGATCTAGTCTTGCAATCCAGAGCAAGAGAGACTAGATACACTCCATCTTCTACATGACAGCCCTTCAAATACTTGAAGACTGCAATTATGTCCCCTCTAAGCCTTCTCTTTCCCAGGCTAAACATACCCAACTCTTTCAGCTTTTCGTCATAAGACTTAGATTCAAACCCTCTCACCATCCTGGTTGCCCTCTTCTGGACACACTCAAGTTTGTCAACATCCTTCCTAAAATGTGGTGCCCAAAACTGGACACAGTACTCCAGGTGAGGCCTGACCATAGCAGAATAGAGCGGAACTACCACCTCCCGTGATCTGGACACAATGCTTCTGTTAATGCATCCTAAGATTGCATTAGCTTTCTTCACAGCCACATCGCACTGCAGGCTCATGTTTAGCTTGTGATCAACCAGAACACCCAGAATCACATGTGCTGCTGTCAAGCCAAGTCCCTCCCATTTTTTGTACCTAAGTGTAGGACTTTGCTCTTCTCTTTATTGAAATTCATTTTATTTGTCCCAGCCCACTGTTCCAGCCTATCTAGATCATTTTGAATCCTGACTCTGTCTTCTTCAGAATTAGCAATCCCACCCAGCTTTGTGTCATCTGCAAATTTGATAAGCATCCCCTCTATGTCTTCCTCCAGGTAACTTATAAAAACATTGAACAACACCGGGCCTAGGACTGAGCACTGCGGCACTCCACTCGAGACTATCCTCCACGTAGACGCAGAGCCATTTACGAGCACTCATTGGGTATGATTTTTCAATCAACCATGAATCCATCCAACGGTTGCACCATCCAGCCCACATTTAACCAGCTTATCCTCAAGGATATCATGAGAAACTATGTCAAATGCTTTACTGAAATCTAGATACACTATATCCACAGCATTGCCAGAGTCAACCATTTTAGTAACTCTGTCAAAAAAGGAGATAAGGTTGGTCTGGCATGACTTATTCTTGATAAACCCATGCTGGCTACTACCAATTAACTCATTCCGTTCAAGGTGCTCACAGTTTAATAATCTGCTCTAGAATTTTCCCAGGTATTGATGTCAAACTGGCAGGCCTGTAATTTCCCGGGTCTGTCTTTTTTCCCTTCTTGAAGATCGGGACAACATTCGCTTTTCTCCAGTCTTCTGGCACAACACCAGTACTCCAGGACATCTCAAAGATTAGAGCCAGAGGCTCTGAAATAACATCTGCAATTTCTTTTAGCACCCTGGGATGCAAGCCATCTGGCCCTGGAGATTTGAAAGTATTTAAGGCAGCTAGATGCTCTCTAACCATTTCCTTACTTACTCTGGACTGGCAGTTCCTCCTTCCTTCATGTGCCCTGCATTCTTCAGTTTGTATACAGCTCAACTTACGGTTAAAGACTGATGCAAAGTTAGAGTTGAGTAATTCCACTTTGTCTTCATCCTTTGTTAAGGCTTGACTGTCTTCCCCTAGCAATGAGCTTGCCCCATCCCTGTTCTTTTTGCTCCAAACATAGGAATAGAAATTTTTCTTGTTATTTTTAGCATCCCTCACAAGCCTCAGCTCCATCTGCGCTTTAACCTTTCTGACACCATCCCTACAGATTCGAGCCTGCTTTTTGTATTCACCCTCAGTAATCTGACCCTCCTTCCATTTCCTGTACATTTCCCTTTTTAGTCTCAGCTCTTTAGAGAGTTCCTTGTTCAGCCACCTTGGCTTCATTACCCA